ACTTCAACTCCCAGAATTCCCTAGCCAGCAAAGCTGGCTAGAGAATTCTGGGAGTTGAAGTCCACACATCTTAAAGTTGCCAAGGTTGAGAAACACTGCTATAGATCAAACTTCCACCAATAAATACTAGGAGTAGTAAAGTACTGTAACTTGTAGTTTTACTTTTTTCCAGATCTCCTTGGAAATGGGTAGGACAACTGTGTTTAATCATGAAATGGAAGATTGTTCTTAAGACATGCAGAATATGGTTAAGGAATTGTGGTTCTTTGGACAAATGTGTGATGGGTAATTGCTTTTGAGGAACAAGGAGAAACAATCTCGGTATACTGTTTCACCCAAATCTCAGTGTTTGTGTCAATGTTGCATTAAAATATGTTTTCATTTTTCCTCTTTTATTTGAAAACTTGTTCTGGAGCTAAACCTATAATGATCCCTGAAAATGCATTGAATAGCAGAGCTAGCAGCATACTGGAGCATCAAGCTGCATTTTGGGGAGAGGAAGAGAGACTAGTTTTTTTGTTTCATGCATTAAATGTTATTTTTATTTCAGAAATGTATTTTATTTTAATGCTTTTATTTGATCTCTGCCTTCCCACATTGCACTGCTCTGTGCATCTCATTTTTCTTGTCTATCTTTGGTAAGGAATGGATTCATATTTTAAATTAGTAACATTTGTCCTAAACATGCATACCAGTTTTGATTTTTGGTGTCTCAACTCTTCGAAAGGAGAGATCCCTCACTAGGCTAATATTCTGAATTTTTTTCTGTAAACAGGTCAGAGGTATAGCCTATTATTTGAACCTGACCTCAGAATGGTGCCTGAATATGGCATTTGATACTTTAACTCAGGCATCTCCATGCAGTTATGTATTGAATTGCATATTGAAATGCCAAACAAATGGAATGCTTAACAGGAAAGTTAAGCCAAAGACTTTGAGTTTTCACTTTCCTTGTCATCAGTGATGAAACTGCTGCTGTGCTGACTGAGGGCCTGAAAGGATGATGACTTGATAGTGAGCTGCACAGAGGAGCAGGTAGCTCATTGTGAGTAGGCTTAGTGGCCGTAACCTGTGAGTAATAACATTGGCATGCAGGAGTTTAAGCTCTGTGTTTAGGCTAACAGGGTAACGGTAGCCTTGACAGTGCCTGTTGCATATGCAATTGGTATGAGTTCACACATAACATGAGTTATTTGATTGTATATTCTTTGTGTGTATGCATGAGTGAGTAAAACAGTTTATCAGTTATTTTTTTCTTGCTTCTGTGGCACGTGTGAGTTTGTATATGGAAGCAGTGCCTAGAACAGACTTGTAGGAGAGGAGTATAGATTCATGCTGGGTATATTCTTGAGTGTCTGATTATCCTTGGGACTGATCCCTGTTGTGCTATTCCCAAGTCTGTGAAATGGGTAAATGTTCTCCATGTATTTAACTCATAGGCTCTACTTCCTGTATATTAGATATTTAACCTGGCTTGGACTGTAGGAGGGAGCAGCTTGAGCTATCTGTTCTGCATTGTTAAAAAAAGTTTTTCTTTGTTGTCTTGGATTCTCTGATTTTATTAAGGCCTATTCTCAGCTGATCAGCGAATCCATGAGAGAGAACTCAAACCTATATAAAACAGATATACACACAACATCCGTAAAGGATGAACAGACTTGTGGCTACTTAGCCAAATATGCTGTGATAGAAAGGTGCTGACTGGCAGTGTCATGTTCATGTTGAAAGGAGCATGTGATAACATCCTGTCAGTATTTCACTGCAAATGTGATGAATATGAGCAAGATGAAAATAAACTATTTTGAAATGGGCTGTTTCTGTTTGGTCTTTGCTAACTCCTTTTGCAGTACAGGTTGATCCTGGCCAGTTGCTCTTTTTCTGTTAGGCTAAGAAATGGGTTATTAATGTTTCCTTTTCCTTTTTTTCCCCCAAAGGGCTCCCAAGAAGGATTTCCCTTTCTCTTCAAGGGATGTCCCTACAGCATTGGCTAAACAGCATTTGACCTTTCTGGCTACCAGTCCCCATCCTTAAGGTGAAGGCTACCATAGGTCCAGCTCTGAAAACCACTGCCTTCTCCTCCCTGATTTTTCATCAATCAGCCACTTACTAAGAAGGAAAACATGAGTTCCAAGAATGAATCAGGTAAGTGACTGAAGAAGTGAAGCAACAGGGTAGTTTTCTTGGATTTGGTCAGGTTGGAGCAAGGAGATGTACAGATTTGGGCTGATGAAGATGTGGCTATTTCAAATTCTGTTACTGAAGGTCAGAGCTTCACTTGGGTATTTTTATCTGTTTTTACTTTGCAATAATTTATTTGATATTGTATTTCAAATTATCTATTGTTTGTACTTCCAGTTCAGTGAGGAGTAACTACTGCAGGGCCTCCTTGCTTTGTCCTAATGCTTGCTCTGACACTGCATTCAAGATCCTTAAAGGTTTTGTAATACTGCATCCCTATGCAATTAGTAAGGGAGGTTGAACGTTTCTGTCTTTCTAGTGCCATGCTAAGCAAGCCTTTTACCTTCTGGCATGGAAAGTTACATTCTATTTTCATTTCTAAGCATTCCAGGAAAAAATGAGATAAGCCAATGGTGAGTTTTCTCAGAATAATTAAAAGCAATCTCTTGCTGGTTAAGTATGAATTATACATATGTGCTAGAAATACATATATCGGTGATAAATCAGTGGTAAACTGTTGATACATACATCAGTGGTAAACTGTTGATTTGTAAACACAGCCTCAGTGATACCGGAGTATGGTGAAGTGTAAAAAATATTGTAACTTGTCTGTCTGCTTGAGTCCCACTGCACTGTATTCTATCTATACAGAATAGCACTGCAATTGCATTGCTCTACATGAAAGTCTTTGCTAACTTAGTGCCCTCCAGAGATGCTGGGGTGACTACTTCCAGCATTCCTAGGCAGCATGGCTGTTTGGGAAGTTGTGGTCCTAATAAATCTGGATGAGGTCATTTGGGGAAGGCTATCCTACTTTGGTGTGCATTCATTGGTTCCATCTCTCATTTCCCCATTGATTTTCAGACTTAGACTAAACTGCCTTTTCCCATATATCTTCTTTTTAATTTGCTAGCACTATTTGTGGAAGAGAATTGCATCTGATGATAGGATTGCCTTCTTGTGTATTTGAACACTTTTTGAAATTCACCACTATTTGGATACAGAGTAAAGCCTCTTCTTCAGAATTGTAGAGATGGACAGATTGGTTCGGAACAAGTTGTTCTTTAGGTATCCTGGCCTCAGACTATTTCTATCTTACCAGCACTTTGAACTTCATCTGGAAAAATACCAGTGATCAGTCCCCCTGTCCTGTATTTATGTGTATAGTACTTGCTCATTTGGATATCTGTCTTGCTCTCATGTTCTGAGTTTTTCAACTATGAAATGTATTAGCATTCCATTTTTCTACTTTTATATTTATTTTTAAATTTGTTTTGCCTTATATGCAAATGATTTGAGCACTTTGGGGGATGGACGTGGAAGTATAGAAACATTTGATTGATTCATCAACTGTTGTTGAATCTTTCCCAAGAAGATTAAAGTTGTGATAATCTATCTCTTCATGCTGGCTTAAGTCTGTGTGCTCCCTTCTGGAACTGGCAGAGGATATCTTCATGGGACAGGCTAATGTAATCCAGCTGTTGATGGGTTTTCTAATTGGGGAACTCTGTAACAATACATAACAAAGCCTGTTATTTGCCTTTAGCCTCTAGTTTTTGGTCAAACATGAATTGCAAGTAATGCCTGTTTGGAGAGAATAAGGAATACTTTTGGATACTGCTTGGAAATAATACTGTAGGGTGAGGAATATACTTAAATTTAATATATTATTTGCAAGTAATTAATATAATTTTCTGGTAGAGAGCAAAAAGGAACAAGTATTCTCTCAAAAGCAAAATTTTATTCAGAAGAGAAGAAATTAGTGCTGCTCCTAAAGAGTGTATTGTGTTCAAAACCCATTATATGTGAGAATAAATGAATATGCCTTTGCTAATAAAATACTTTTCTTTAGTATTTTTTTATGTTCATGCATGGTGGTTTCTAAATAATTTTAAACACACACAAGGTTGTTTCTGAATTCACTGAAGCAAGACAAAAAAGTGAGTTTAAAATTGTGTTACAAAATTACTATAAGCTTTAAAAGCTATGCCATATTAAACATGGTTAAATGAAGAATTAGTGGAGAAACATTTGAAAATAAAAATAAAATAAAGCAACCATATTTAGAAGCCTGCATACTGTATTTTGAAAAGAGCATAATAATTAAGATAGTTAAATGAAATGTACTATAATTAGAGGGATATATGTGTGTCTCTCAGGGAGTACCTGAGCTTGAATATAACTGCAGCATAGCCTTTAAGTTTCATGGTGTTTTAGGCAAACGGATCTTTCTAGTTGTTTTTGACAACAAAATATCAATGGCTATGCTAGTTAGAAATTACTGGAATCAAACGCATCTGAAGAAATTGGAAAAAGCCATTCTAGACTGAAACTGCTCATCTATTGCCAACCCCGTAAGAGTTTCTTTTTTCTTTTTTTACTTGGTGGAATGGTAGAGCAAGTTCCTGATCCTAGATACTAAGCCTTAAGGTGCAGTATATAGTCAGAAAAGTCAAAATGGCAGCCATAAGGGTGTGATTGAAGCTTTGCGGTGTACATAAAAAATGGTTGAAGCTTCAGTCGCACCCTCATGGCTGCCATCTTGACTTTCTTACCATACCCTGCAGACACCCCTAGTCTACTACAGGCAAATATCTTAAGTTTTCTTTTGAAAGATGGGATATGGGTATTCGTGCAGAGGACTGGACAGATAAGCTTAAGAAATGCAAGCTGCCTAGGGTGGCACGGAAATGAAGAAAATAAATGAATTCTGGCTGATTACATGCTGCATTACCCTGCCCCCAAGTACCTGCCTGAAATAATTGAAGGTTAAGGGATAGGGCTGGGGAAAATGGTAGCTGCTGTCTCTGGGGAGAAAGAATATGGGGCTGCCTGACACCATAGAACCCAGGGTGGGTTAGCAGAAAAATTAGAATTGATAGAATGAAACTGAACAGCTTCCCAACAGCATCACTCCTGGATAGGCTCAGCTGGCGTAAGAAGTGTTGCCCTGAGCTGGAAAAAATACAGAATGAAGAACTGATGTGCTCAAATAGGGAGAGAACCACTTGGGCCCCCTGTAGAACCTTTAAACTTGTTCAGTGTAATTATGTAGGGGTTTCTGCAAGTTGCTTCTGATAGTGCACAAAACAACACATACGTAATTGTATAATTATTTTTTTATTCCAGTCATATGTTGAAAGGTGTTAGGGGAAGGAATACAGGTAGTCCCTGGGCTAAGAATGCCCGGGTTACAGACGACCCCTCCTTAAGAATGGAGCCTATTGTAGCAAAATTTAAATACACAATGATCCGAGTTAAATACACAATGGTTTGGGTTCATTACACAATGTACTTATACAATATTATACAATAATGCCGTTCCGGCTTATATACAAATTCAACTTAAGAACAGACCTTGGAAACGGAACTCGTTCTTATACTGGAGACTACCTGTAGACTTCTGCCCTCAACTCCCTGGTAGTCCTTCATTTCTATAGTTATTGATTTAATGGATTGGTAAAAAGTTCCATGGTGTTTGCACATTTATTGTGTACAGCTATTTAACATCGGAAGTGCTTTAGTTATATATTATTACAGAAGTTTCTAGTCCTCTTTAGAGGCACCTCCTGAAAACTTTCTGTTAGTTGTACAGTATGACTAGTGGCTGGGGATAGTTTTAACTTACTACTGTATTCCATTGTTGTTTTTAACATTCCCTGTTTCCAAAAGGAGGCAAGATGCATTATGAAGTCCCACAGGAACAACAGTGAGATTATTTTATTCCAGATGTACCTACCTAGGCAGCAGAAGGGGGAAAATCCTTTAAATTGAGATGAGCAATTTTCTCAAAATTGAGGAACATAGCTTGTTCCATGTACTAGATGAAGGGACATAGATGATGTTACAAGAAGGAGTTGGATGACTTTTTAGTATTTTCTAGAATCCTTCCTTCCTTCCTTCCTTCCTTCCTTCCTTCCTTCCTTCCTTCCTTCCTACCTACTTACCTACCTACCTACCTACCTACCTACCTACCTACATTTTCCAAGGGTCTCTTGCTTCCATTTCCATCCCTATTACTTGGGAGCAGGGAGGGAACATGCTGCCAAAAATTGACCCATTTTGCTGCTGAATTTCAGAAGTTTGATCTTAGTTTCTGGAAGATTGCAAGTGGATTGCCAGTCCTTGTCCTAAACGACAGAACCTTCCCTGGAAAGTTATAGAATGTTTTCTGGGTCATTTCAGCATCAGTCACAGATTGCCATCGACTCCAGACTGTTTTCAGCTTGGTTGTAGATACCTCTATTAATTCTGCCATTGATTTCCACATTAGCTGCAGAAGACAATACAGTGTGCATGATCTGCATTATGCAAAAGTATCTTTTCAAACAAAATCTTAATTTAAACAATACATTTATGTTTTCACAAATTGGTGGGTGATTTAATTTGGTTTGTTGAAGAAAGCTCTGTGTAGCTTTTCATGTTAAGGGCTAACAGATCTTTGTGGGGACCTCTTTGAAGCTGAACATCTTGACGAGTTGTACTTCAAAAGGTTTCTTGGAAGCCATGCCCCCTCCAAAATGTGAGGAAATTGATTGTGGTTCCACCAGCAGCATATGGTTGTGAAAATGCCTGATTAGAAGGATGAGATCCAAGTCACAAAGCTTCAAATTCCTGTCCGACCACAAGCCCATTGATTGATCTTGGGCCAGTTCCTTCCTCTCCAGTCAATTTCATAAGATTATTGTACAGCTAAAACTGGCAGGGGCTGGGTGCTGAACTGCTTCTTTATGTTGTAAATACGCAGTGATAGAGCGAAGGCACTTTGCACATGTTCAGAGGCATTCTGTTGGTTCTGATAGTGCTGAAGGCAACCCTCCTGGTTTAGTTTAAGATTTCAAGCTTCAACTCAAGTTGAACTCTTCCAGACATCTATTCCCCCCCCCCCCCGTTAATTTTGTATGTAGCAGAGGTGGTGTGTGCTGGCTTTCTCTTTGAATCAGTTCTTAATGCCCGTATTAAAA